CCTACCACCTTTCATTTTCCTGAGTTTTTTTTTGCAACAAACAGCTCCTTGCAAGTCCCGTGCTTGCCATAATAAAAACAACAATAAATTTGCTAGCTTCTAGCGTGTTTGTTTTTGTTATTGCCATTTTCATTCGCATACTCATTTTCAAACAGGCATTCTTGCATTGTGCTTGCTGTTGTTGTTGCTGTGCGCTCCTTTAAACTCCTTGTGACCACAAAATGGGTGGGGGTGAAAAGAAAAGCGAAATTGCAATGCAGGAATGCTGAGTGTACGCTTATAGCTGTGCCAGTGTGTGGATAAGTGCTCGATGCCTGCATTGCATAAGTGTCATATAAGTATATGTGGCACATGTGTCTTTGCCGTCAGGTTCTACAGGCGCGAACGACTTCAGTTGTAGAACTTACTTGCTGCTTCGGCATTGCCTTGACGTTGGTTTAGCCGCAATTTTTCTACGCATTCCCATGAAGACATACATACATACACACATACTTATACATATAACGAAAAGTGCTTATATACTTGTATGTATATGCAAGCACTGTAAGTTTATGTCGCCCTCAAGTTGTTCTCTAGCACTTGCACTATACCGCCACACACACACACACACACATGTATATTAAGGCACCCACCCACTGTTAGACTTGCCACAGTCATACTCACAGACTTGTCACACTCTCCTCGCCACCTGTGTAGTAAATATTTTGAAGTTGTTTGTTGAAAGCCTCAACTACGCGCCGCTTGTCTAATTGCTAGTTGCCGTGTCGTTGTAAGTGACTTTTACTCTTCGACGTCAGACAACGTTATGTCTGTGTGTGTGTTTGTATGCTAGATAGTTATATCACAGCGTGCACTTCTTTATGGAATGCTCAGCTCTACACACATACATACATGCTAGACATTAAACACATTTTAGTCATTAACGTTGCTACATTTAAGCAACACATACACTAGCATAATTACAGGTTTCCACCGTATGTGTGTATATGTGTGTGCCTCGAGAATTATGTAATTATGATTAAGGCACATTTCACACGTGTGTTCAAGTGGATTCTCCAACTTGGGCGGAGGCATTTCTTTACAGAGTAATTTTAAACCATTAGAAATTGGGGGGGGTTGGGGTTGAAATAATATAATATTTCTTGTGTGTTAGCTTTAAATTAAAAAGAAAATATTGCATTTTTAAATAAGTGGAACATTTAAAGTAGAAGTTTAATTTATAAATTTTGTTCCCAATTTTTATTTATTAAGGGTAAACTACAGCAGGGGATACCAGGATTCGTCTGGGCACTGCAACAGCCTGCCAACAGGATGGAGTGCTATCCCCACTGTTATGATTAACATAAACTCTTCTAAGACAACCATCGTCCCGTTTAAGAGACGTAGGTCCCTGCCCGGCCTCAGTAACCTAACCCTTGGTAATTCTTGGGGTTGCAAGTCAGGGATTTTCAAGTGGTCGTACACCATTATCGCGCCCCGATAATCACATATGTTGTAGTGGCCTGGGCTTCCAAGCATCGCAGACTTCGGTATTGAAGCTGCAACGATTCGGCTGCATCTGCAGCGGGTGCAATGCGCTCTTGTCCGACGGCAGCACTTGAAGTCATGCTTGATCTCACACCACTTCACCTAGTTATCGGGCAGGTAGCCAAATACACACTGATCCAAATTTCAGCAGAAAAGTGTGACAGAGGTGAGTTAATCTCATCCCAGCGGATTAAGTGATGTAATATCATTGACTCTTCTTGCAAGACACAGTATTACTAAAAGGGTAAACTCACCAAAAAGTTCAAGGTTACCTTTAGCAATAAGGCTGAATAGAACGATTCAACTCATGCCTATGGGAAGTCTATCTATATTTGCCATAAGTCGGTGCAACTATTGCAACGAACGTATAACCATACTTAGTCTCTTAAACCAATCTCTGCCTATGAGGCAAAAGTGTAGAGAACGGCTGAATAGTCTAGCGAAATATAATGAAGTGCACCTCATATGAGTTCCCGTTTACTAAGATATAGCCGAAAAGAACTGGCTGATAAGCTTAACCGCTTCGGTCATGGTATCCGTAATACCTGAATCATTCATCGCAGTAGGTTCTCATACCATAAAGGAGCTGCTCTCCAAGAAAAAAAGAGTTGGCAGGGAGGGGTATTGGCTGCAACTCTAAGGCATACGCCATGCCAAGTTGGTAATGGGCAGTTACAATGTCAGCAGGTTTAAATATGCAATCAACCTCCCTAGAGACAAACTCAGGCTATTTATCGCATTCTACACTGGGCCCTGTAAGCTGAAGAATAACTTGTATAAAATGGGCCTAGCTTCTTGTACAAATTACTGGTTCTGCGACAGGTAGCTTGAAATCCAGAACACCAGCTAATTGACTGCATAGCAGTTTGAAGGCGTAGGATACAGGCCTTTTTATCCATGTTTCCATATAGGGATTGTGGATTAGCAGTGGACACAATAGACCTAAAGCTCGAGTTATAATCTTTCTATATTTACCTTTTCTTAAAGATAAGGGTTTTTCCTTTTCGCGAGCTTAGTTCTTCTATCATCTCGGGCTTACCTGTGTACTCAAGCGATTTGATATAAACCGACAAAAAGTAGTCAAGAGCCGTTAAATGGCACGATCTTAGAGGCCACGCCACAAGCCCACGACGTGAGATAGTGCGTTCGTCAAAAATTTCCGTAAATAAATTTATTGTTTCTTTGACTGTATGGCATGTAGCACCGTCTTGTTGGATCCAAAGGTCATCTACATAAACGTCCACCAATTTAGGCACTAAAAAGTAATTAACTATTTTTCATTATGGCTTAGTTTTTGTAAAAATGGACGAACTAGTCACCTTGTCCATAGAGCTGACCAAACAGCCACATCATTGGCTTGTGTATTATCGTCCAAATGCTACAGGCTTCTTTATTATCGTACCAGTTCCCGGATGTGCGCCAGACGAAGCATGCACCAATGATTTGCAAGTGTTTTGCTGAAATCGAAATAAATTTAAAAGGGATGAAGCAAAAAACTGGGGTGCAAAACTGTAAAGTGGTAGATTAAACGCAGAATGGAACTGACAGACCTATAAGAAAGTAGAAAATGTCAAAATCAGAGCTTCAGAGAAATAACGAAGTACCGCTTTTGCACTTGTTTGGCATTGACAGTTACCACACGGTAAGAGACACTGGAATATGCAATAGGTTTGTGAGGCTACTGCTGAAAAAGCATCCTAAATATGGCTGTAACTCTTGCACTACTCACTCCTTCTGTTATCATAAAATACAAAAGGTGTTTTGCGCTTATTTGCCTACCAGACTAACCTAATCTAATGTAATCATATGAAATACTTGGTAATAATGATTTAATTATAAATACTAGAAAATATTCGACACAGATGTTACGTATATGCCCTGACAACGAAAAAAAAAGAAACCTTCGTAATTGGTACTAAGATACAATAAAAAGCGGAATTATTCCTTAGGTATGATATAAAATCATATTCCTTCACAAATATTGGACATCGAAAAAAGCTCTAAAAATTCAAACTCTTTAAAGGTGGAAAAAATAGTGATGGATGGATGAGATATCCTATAACTTTTAAACTGCTCTGATGAATTTCAATTTGGCTATAGTAATTCGAATATAAAACAAATTGGTTTTAAATATTTTTTTTTTTTTTACATTTACCTCATATTGATATAATACTTTCAAAAAACAGTCATTAGCCCTAAAGTCATACTTCATAAAATCTCTACGTTCGAACATTAGAAAAATTTTAGAATAATAACTGAAATGCGTAATTAATAAACGTAATTAAGTAAACTTCCGCTTTGTTTACTACTTATCTACTTAGCGTGCTGAACGAGTGTGCCTTTATGCTCATATACATATACTCTTTCCTTCTGCCATCGATCTTCTATCACCTTGACATTATTATGTCAAATCAGTTTCAAACCGAAATGGAAATATCTTGTGGCAGTGTTGTTATTATATTATATATATTCGTTCTTCTGTGTGTTCACTTTCAAATCACGTATTTCATTTAAATCCCGACTGTCTTCAATTATGTCAATCAACAAGCACACATATAAAGCCAATTAATTAACCAAATGGATTTGAGTTTAACTGCGAAACTTTTACCTGTTTGAAAGTCAATGTGGACAACTGAACACACGCACAGATATTGAATATACATATACCTAATAACATGTATACTTGCAGCGTATTAGTGCAGGTCGAATTGTTTGAAGAAAATGAGATTACAAAAAATTTATTCCAAGTTTATTAACCTACAGTGTCTACGTAGCATGCAAAAAACGACTAAAATTTTTTAGCAATATACCACTTATGTATAAAAACTCCACTCACCGATATGACTGCAGTGGTGCAGGTTCTTCCCTTTCAATGCCTTTGAAGATCACGAGTAACTGAAAAAATTTTGTATTTTTAAACTTTCATAAAAAAATGAAATTACCCACCCTAATTACCACATCAATATTGTTCTAATTCATACAAATGAGAATACACCAAATTACTTCATCTGCTGTCATTATGAATGATAATAGTAACTTTTGGTTCTTAATGGAATTAATGACAGCTCGATAGCATTGAGGAGCATAGATTAATAAGTCATTAACATAATGCAAGCGCATCATATTCATGTGTACTTCTGAACATATGCCGTTTTCAATTAATTAAAATGTTAATGAAGGAGAATAGCAAAATTATGGGAAAAATATAGTATATAAAATGGCTTAAGAAATTTAAAGCTTTGAGGTCCAAAGTGTTGTTTAAGTTAAAGTTAAAGACAAAGACAAAGTAATTATTCTCAATTTAGCAGCTTTGAGACTAGCCACTTGAGATCAAAAATATTAACTTATTCTGCATTTAATTATTGTGCACTCCTTCATTACTCTAAAGGTATCTAACGGTTCCTGCCTCGACAATAAACATATTGTTCCTTGTTATCTTAACTAATTTCCACACTCATTTACTCTCCTTTCAGATGGTTACCAAAATCTGCAATGCGGCCAGTGGGGCCTGACGCCTCGCACACCGACTGCATACTGGTTGTTGGTGTCTCCCGTCCGAAATTAGCTGTAGTCTTTCTAACAGTTATGTTAATATCACTATTCCTCACCTTTCATGTACTCTACGATAGCGCCGTATATAATATACAAGCGGCACAAGTACTCACCGAACGGCATCGGCTGCGTTTGCTGAGCAGTGCGGGCAGTAGTGGAGGCGGTAGCGCCAGCGCTAATAACATCAACAACAATCATTTGCCAGAATTCATCAAACCTGCCGCGGCGGCTGTGGCTGCAGCAGCAGCATTGGCCGCTGTACCCTCCTCGAATCAGATTAGTCATCCAATGGTGTTTCCTTCGAATCGTGTGCACTTTCCGAAAACGAGCCGAAGATTGCCGCAGGTAAATTAATAAGTTAAATTTTTCAGTTACTAAACATTTTTTATTTCAAATTCTGATTTTTGTTAAATTTTTTTCTTTATTTTAATTTTTGTTTGATTTTTGCAATAATCTTTTTATCAGGCTCTCATTATCGGCGTTCGCAAGTGTGGCACACGCGCTCTTCTTGAAATGCTGTATCTTCATCCTCGCATACAAAAAGCCGGTGGCGAAGTTCACTTCTTCGATCGTGATGAGAACTACATGAAGGGCTTGGAGTGGTATCGCAAGAAAATGCCACACTCGTTTCGTGGACAAATTACGATCGAAAAGAGCCCCAGTTACTTCGTGTCGCCAGAGGTAAGAATATTAGTCTTAAGAAGAAGAAGCTATGAATTTCCATTTTTTTGAAGCAAAGCAAACTGTGTGCAGATTTCTTGGTTGCCAAAGAGAAATTATAAGGGAATTTCAAAATAATGTTTTCTCTTTATCTTTTACTGGTCAAATCTCATTTATGCATAAGTAATCGTTGAAAGTTTTAACAAAGTAATAGCCAATAGTTTGACAGTTCACTATTGTCAACACTCAAACTCGTTTAATCAATTATAGCTATACCAACTTCTCACCTATGTTGCCACATTTTTGCTAGTCTCTTCTTGCTGCGTCTTTCATATATATTTTCTTTACTCTCCTCATCTAAGTTTATTTACACTGTTCGTTATTTCTCACCAAACTTTTGATATTCGAATATTAAAACTATACCTTTTCTCCCTTATTGATTTCTTTTGGGTATTTCGAGCAGCTAAAAAAGTTTCTGCTAATTGCGAAATAACTTTCTAATTGTTTCTGATTTCTGTGTCATTTATAGACGGAGTCGCTCTGTGGAAAATTGTGCAAAAACTTTTTCTTTCTTGCCAACCAGTTCTATTGCATTTATATTTCTATATAGAGAACTATTGATTGGGCATTTGTCACTTTAGTTACCTTTTGGATAAATGAGGCGAAGTTTATGGAGGGAAAAAGTGTTAAATGAGTTCATTAATTTCGTATTATGTATAAAAATAGGGCAGGCAGCATAAAGTTAGTAAAAGCGGAAAATACAAATAAATTAAAAGAAAAATAATGAGCAGAATTAGACATTGAATTAGCTGGGTTCAATCAAAATTATAGTGTGATGCTGAGTATATTTGGAAAATTCTCACTATTTGTATTTTTTCTAAATATTTATGTGTATTTGAGTGAGATTGATTGATTTTATAACTGTTTCTCATTTCCATTGTTATATAAAACTAACGGGAACGTTTCATGAAAACTTTTTGGGATTGCCTTCAGCGAGTATTGTTTTATCTTTTCGATCGACTGAAAACGGGTTACACAGAACAACAATTTCAGTCTAAGGAACTAGAAAATATCACACGGAGCCAAGTCTGGTTAATATGGTGATTGATCGATGGTAGTTACTGCGTTTTTGGCTTTAAACTCGATTACAATGCGATGGTGTATTATTATCGTGTAAAATCCATGAACTATTTTTCCACAATCCCGGCCGTTTTTGACAGATGTTCTCACATAAACGCCGCAATAGAACTCCTCATTGAAGGTCTGATCTTCTGGAACAAATTCATGATACACCAAACTACGAATATCGGAACAACATCAACTTGATTTCTAAGCGGCTTTGGCGTGTTTTTTTTTGGCTCGCTTTTTTCCTCTTTTCCGATGATTTTAGACTTGTTTGCATGTCAAACTTAATGAGGAATCGGAATTTGCATCCAGCAAGTCCAAAGACCTGTTTTATGGTACTATTTTTGAAAAAAAAAACTCAGCTTTATCGGGTGGAATCAAACAAAAACTTATTTCATACGCAAATATCCACCAAAATCATTCGAACGCACTCGCGAGAGATGTCGAACACTTTTGTCATCTCTCTAATACTTGCCTGACGATTTTCAAGCACCATATTCACCACTTTATCACACATCAGTTGAAGAGGTCGAAGGTCGTTCCAAACCAGACATATCTTGAACGATGTCTTGACTATCTTTGAAGGCTTTGTACAACAAGCTGGTTGACAAATCGTGCTCACATTAAATATCATTTACGCGGGGAATTTAAATTACAATGTCCCGAAAATTTTGTCACAATGTATGAAATAATATATGGGTTCGTCGCATTGAGTTACAATATTCGTATTTCAATAGAAGAAGTTTTTAGGTGGGCATAAAGCAATATTTTCCTGCCCATAAAGTAATATTGCCAGACATTGTGTCTTTTTTCTATTAACAAAAAAAGAGACCTTTAAAAAGCCGTACATTAATATTTTAATGAAATTAAATGTTTAATCAGGTGGCAACCCTTTTCTGAAAATATTATCAACTATAACTTTTACCAAATTAATTTAGTTGTATTCCTATGTTAGAATAGAACGTTTCGTCAATAATTTCATTGAAATTAACATATTTAAACAAGTGGCAACCTTTTCCGAAAATGTTATCAACTACAAGCCGACATCTGCATAGTAAATATCAGCTTATCTGACTCATTTTAAGAAATTCAAAACAGGTGGCAACGCTCTTTAAAAAATAATATGAACTGAAACATTTTTTTGATGTATAATTTGTTAATTTTTGAACAGCTGGCAACCCTTTTCTGGAAATATTATCAACTACTATTATTTCTAAATAAATTCAGCTTTATACTCATATTGCAATAGCTAATTTCTTTAAAGAAATTTACTTAAATTTTAAAACAGCTGGCAACTCTTTTTAAAAAATATTATGAACTGTAAATCTTTTTGGAACTACTCGCGCTTTATATTAATATTGGAATAAATCGTTTCCAGATGAAGTTTTTTCCTTTTTTTAATTTTGAACACTGCCACTGGGGTTCAATTAGCGCTGGATTCGCCAGAACCTTTCTATCTCGTTTCGTCGTGCTCGAACCATTCGGTTTTCTCAATGAAACTATGTAACTAACAGCCGTTATGCTTTTTATGGACAGCCATTCAACGTTTGGCCTGATGGGTTCCAAGTATTCTGTGTCTGTTTTGTGCTAGAGTTGAGCACTTAGAGAGAAAGTTGAAAACGAGTTTCGTATTCCTTGCTAGCTTGCAGCTGTGGCAAATATTGTTATAGGATCGATCCATTTTTGCTAAATTTTTTTTTAAAAGACCGTTGTCCTTTAAATAGCTGCAAGTCTATAAATACTATTCCGTGACCTATCTAAGGAGTGGTTATTCAAGTCTTATCAGACTTGAGCCTTTTCTACTTTATTATCTTGCAGTTGGCCTATGATTTCCATCTAATCTGAGTTTTTTTCCCAAGTGAGTATAAAACTCTCTTTTGATCATTTCCTGCGTGGTGATATTAACTCCGCTTCAGATTCATTTAAAAAAACTCCTATCTTGGCCAATTTGTCAGGTGTTTCGTTAGCGTCAACATTCCCGTGACCGTGAATTCAAATTATGGACAAGTGTATTTGACCTGCGTTCAATGCCTTCTAGGAATTGTTGACTACGCTAGAGTTAAGAATTGTGGCAACGACAAAGCCAGCAATGCTGGTAAACTATTTTTGTATCCGTGGTTCGATTATAAGAACTGATCATCTAAAAACATATTAGTAAATAACTTTTATCTAACACGCTTTATAGGAATTATTTGTAGTAGCAGCAAATTTTTTTCTAAATTAATTTTAAGTTCGTTCCTTCTAAAAATTAAAATCTTCACTAACTTCTTCACGGATTTGTTATCACTACTCCACATCTCCAGCTAAATAAAACAGCAGTTCATTAGTATTCTGCGTTTAATTTAAGTTTTGCCACTACTTTAGCACAGATAACGCACAGGTTCCACCTCCCTCCATGTCTGCACCGTTCAATCCGACGTAATTATTTTGGAGCAACAACAGGCGATCCATTCACAATCTGCGCTGTCGAAATTTCATGCTTTAATATTTCAGTTTATAATTAAAAATATTTTCTGCCAAGTTGATTGTAAAAGCTGCTGCAAGTCAAGCTAAAAGCTTAAATGAATATACAAGCGTAAACACAAATACAAATTGAAGCGTCAAGCTGCTAAGGGGAGCTAAGGGGAGAAGATGCGAGTGAGCAACACGTTTGAAACTCACTGACCAACAACATTTAAAGCGGCCACAATCATTGGCGTAGGGGGGCAGCGAATATATGTGGGAGCGAGAGTGTTGTTGTGAGTGTAGTGCAGCACACATTGGCGCCGGCTTGTTTGCTATAAATTGCACTTTGCGAAAGAGCTGCATTTGTAGAGTGTATGGGAACTTACATATATGTGTGTATGTGCGCTGATGTATGCTCAAAGTGTCTGTTGCATGCATCATTAAAAATGAAACGAAAATTGCTGACTTAACTGGACAACAGCGCTGGGAGAGATAGAAAAAAAAGCATACACTCATAGACTCATGTGGCACATACGTTCATAAACATACATGTGTTTGTTAACCGTTACGCTAAAAGTGCAGTCCACTGACTGTGAGTTAGTGAGCGCGAGAGGATGCCCGGCAACTGGTTGGCATGGGCGTTTACAGAAAATTACACAGAACACAAAAATTCAGTTAAAAGGGAATTTCAAATGCGCACACACCCACACACAGACACACACACATACACAATCGCACATTTATATAAATATTAACTCTGCTGAAATGCAACAGCAACTAAAACAGCAAGGCAGCTCTGTGAAAAGTGGCAGACACAGAATCGACACAGAATAAAACGAAATTGCCGCGCTGAGTGCCATAGCGAGAGCGTGCATAAATTCTACTCATGTGTATATATATATAAATATGTATACATGTGTTTGTATTATATTTTTATGTGAGCTCATAAAAAATATCATCTGTTAGCAATAGGAGCTTCAAAGTTTTTGCCTTCGCTGTCCATTTGCGGCACAAAAATTGAATTAACACAAATAAAGCACTTATTCACTAAGGGCGAAATGGCTGAGTGCATTGCGCACTTTTCGTCGGAAACACACACATAAATACAATTATTTTCATGCAACATATTGCTATAAAACTTTAAATGCACACACTATACTAAATTACTTTAGCATTTGCAAAAACACCCACATACATATACATAAAGCAATTTAATTCAGCTGTGGACGCATTTAAAATTTAAGAATCACAGTCACATTTAAAAGTGGAAGATGAGGCTTTACACGTTTTAGTAGCGCATGCGTTAATGATTGATCTCGAGTGTTGAAAAAATTGTGTGCTTGTAGACGTTGAACTTTGTCTGCATTAAAATTTGGTATAATAGTGTAAAGTATTAACAAGAAGCTGAAAATTCAAACCTTTTTGATGATACAAATCTTCTCTTGTAGAAA